GTGCACCAACACGTCCGTACTCTTACTCAAGTTCTCGATCTCAAGGTCGAGGGCCGAGGGGCCTGACAGCTCCTGCCGAAGCCTGGATCTGACCCATAAGGTTGTGCGAAAGCAGCTGGAAAAGCTCCCGATCGGCGGCCATGACCTGCGAGAGGGAAATGGAGTGGTACCCTGCAGGAGGTTCCCTCTGCATCCTTGAGAACAAGCTTTGGACCCAGGTCTCCAACACTGTGAACGACGCAAGCTGAGCAAGTTCCATGGCGAGGGACCTCCGGGCCCAAGCCTGCCTCAGTTGCATGTCACTGCTGATGGAACACCTCAGCTCCACCTGCTTGGCGGCAAGCTTCAATTCGCTCCCCTGCACCTGCAAAGTTGGATCCCTCTTGTTGGAGTCCATCTCCTGCGCTCGGCTGATGCATGCATCTGGCTTAACGTATGTAAGAACACCCGAATCAAGCTGGTCGACGTAGTTATCTACTAGGCGGTTGGCCGGCAGAGTGCCTGGGGTCAGGATTAGCCCAGGCAGCTTGCGACGGAGAGCTTTAAGCCTCTCTGCACGCTCGATCATCGGCAGCTTGCGAGTGGGGGCCTCCCCCGGAGCTACGGCGCAGCACCGACATCTGGTGTTCACTCGGGAGCGGATCTGCAAGGTGCAACGCCCACCTAGAGACGGCCTCATCACTCGCCGCGCCCGGGGTCGAGGACACAGCAAAAGCCAGGGACCCGAACGTTGTGTACCCGGCACGGGCTAGGGCATCTCTCAGCTCATCTGACAGACCAACCTTGGCGAGCCGCTCGAGGAAGTAAGCCGCGGAGTCGAGACCTGAACTCCAGGTGATATCGTCCTGGAAGTAGCTGTGCACCCTTTGGTAGAGCGTAGCCTCCTGTCGAGCTTCCTGTAGCCAGCAGTAAACTCCATCCCATAGCCACGGCTGGTAGGGGATGCCCAGCTCTCGTGCTAGCTGCTTGGCGACGTCCTCCGCGTCGTCCAGGTCCACTACTGCTAGCTCTAGTACCCCAAACCCCTGGCTGACAAGGTGTCGGTAGGCCCGGTCTAGCGTGCGCCTACGCTCCTGTTGGACCGTAGCCTGCGCATCTAGCTCTGCCTCCAGCTGGGGTCTGCGGGACCCACGAAGGTACCTCCCCGAAATAAAGCCCCTGCGGTCGTCCCCCCTGCCCTCGCAATGTGGGAACCTCAGTTGGACACGAAGAACTTAGCGGGACCACAGTAGCGCAGTCGACGGCTGTAGCGGCTGCGCCATCCGGCGTGGTCGGCGCCAGGGTAGCGTCGCTGTCCGACATGGCAGCGCACCCAAAGCAGGGCTAATTAGCCCTGTTCCCCTTCCTACCCCCACTCGAAATTGCCCCCCAGTAGCTGGGGGCCTTGAGCCAAAATGGCTACGGAGTAGCACTGCTTCACCGGCCATGTGCAGTCACTCTAGCAAACAGACAGGCTTCGTTCTGTTTAGCTTCAGAGGAAAACCCTTCGACGTTTTCTAGCGAAACACCTTCGATGTTTCCCACAGGGATACTAGCGCTAGCATACACTGTCGTACCTCGTGCCTCGGCACGAGTGCGAACCACTTCGCCTCAACAACCCGGCTAGAAGCCTCGGCCATCAAGACAGGCTCAGCTCTGGAGTTGGAGGAAAGTCTGGACAGTTGTCGGGACTGAGACGAGCTCGTAGCGCTTTCAGTCGTCTCGAACGCCATGCTGGGAAACAATGCCGCCGGCGGTCTAACCAGAGGCGGACATGATATATTGGCTAAAAGCCCCAAAACTCAAAACCGCGACGCAGACCGTGGTGGCGACTACCCTGGAGCGCTACAAGTTGGAGGACTTCTGACGTCTGTAGTGTTTACCGTTTAATTGCACATCCTTGCATGCAGACATGACATCACTGACGGTCACACAAAACCCCTACACCCAAACTCTTTACTTAGGTTAACAGTTCACAGTGACAGTGAGAATACTGCTCTGGCCCACTGTCGAAGAGAATCACATTAAGTGTCTGACTTCCTGAATTGTAAAGATACTTCCTGAACTGTGAACAAACTTCCTGAATTGTGAGCATACTGCTCCCAATGTATGCGGGGCCGACCCGACCTATTAGGAGCCCTAGTGCGTCTGTATGCGTGAGAGGTCATGTATGTACACTGGCTTTCTGAAGATTCAGGGTGTCTATGGATATGTCCAAACAACTGCAATCTTTGTTGTGAGTATAGTTGGGAAGGGGTGATCTTTTTCGGGATCTGTAGGAAAGAGATGCAAGATACTGGATGGAACATTGAGCATCAGAAGGATCGAGAACTCTATGAGAAAAGGAGGATTTGATCTTAAAAATACGGCGCAGTGATTTATAGTGTATTGAATCAAGCTTGCGCAACTGCGGGGACGTGAGTAAGACGCTGTCCCTAACATAAGTGAGGATCAACAGAACAATGCTACGAGATACAGTAAGTTTATTTCCCAACGAAACTTCCGTTAGCGCACGTTTCAGGGAACCCTCAACTGCGCTGCAGTAAACTGAAAGCAAAAGCACTCCTTTTTTGCTCCTGGCGGATATGGGGGGTGAGTTCGGGCCCGCTCTTAGGGCACTGTACGAAAAGATGCCGCTGGCATCTTCGGAGAAAAACCGACCACTGGTCGAAGGTAAGGCGAACGACTCGTCCACCCCCCTGCCCCCTACAAGTGGTGATTCCGTACTAGCGGAAATCTGTGTGAAACATTTTTTGACCCGAAGAGTCACTGCAGACTACTAGTGGCTACGCTGTTCACTCAACGGCCTACGGCCTATGTACATTTGTGCACGCTGTGCTTGCAAAGGAAATCTCTGCTAGAGATTGAGGAGGAGCTCTGCTCCGTGCAGCTCTGCTGCAACATGCGTGGTCCCCGACCCTGCATACTATACAGGGTGTGGCGGGTGGGATAAAAGTTTTATTGCCCAAAAGGTAAAACATTCAAAATCGCACGAGACCAGAGATATTGCTCACCATCCTAAATGGTTGTGCATATCTATGGAAAGAGGGGAATCGGGATATTGAAATATTGCGGCCACGCAATATGTAAAATCATTCATCAGTGAATATATCGGAAAACAGTAAAGAGGCTCGCACTCGGACAACCCTCGTTTTGCTCGACACTGGCGGGCACGACGTCCTCAACATGAGTTTTGTAACGGAGCAATGGGCCAGGCCCTGAGAGAACGACTAGTGCCCGGCACCGTCGAGGAGAGGCGTCCACCGCACTCTCGAAGCTGTGAAGAAGTGCACACATGTTCTTCAACTCCACAGCACGTCTCATACCCCTTTAACTCACTGTGCTCGAGGAGTCTGAGCCAGCCGTGCACGAGTCAAGAATAACTTTGAGGTTGCATTGACGGTAGCCCTGCGCATAAGCCTGGAACTGCAATCGCGAAGCATCATCGGCCAGGTTTGCTTTGGACGGCACGCGAGCGTACCAGTTCGTGGACTCCAGCTCCATGTCTATCTGGGCCACAAAGTAAAGCAAAGCCATCGTGTCAAGCACGGGTGAAGTGCCGGAGCCCAAAGCGGCTTTTGCAGAATCGTAGTCGATAAACCATAAGGCCTTCCGTCCTCTCAGAACATCGGCCCACACGATCTTGCACACCAAGACTGGTAGGACCTCAGCTTGTCCAACAAGTTGGCGCTTGCCTCCTGCACTCCATGTTGCAACAAAAGCCTCCGGGACACGCTCCCCAAAGAAGAGTCGCCTCCCCGAAGCCGGGTCAATCAGAACAGCTCCGTGCGCTGTCAAGCAGGAGCGTTCCTCGTGGCATCCATCACTGTAAATAATGACAGGAGTGGAGGAGTCGTCCACTTTCACTTCCCGTGGGCGGAAGCTCTCCAGCATGCTCTTGGCGTATTGCAAAAGCGCACAGTCATCCTCATGCAACTTGAGGACGCCCCCACTCCTGAGGAGCCTCGTGAGGCAACGCACTGCCATCATGGCCAATCTGCCGAAGGTGTGTGCGGATGCATACTGAAGCCTCCCTTTTAGGCTGGCGAGCACCGCTGGTTGTGCAAAGCCGTCCGCGCACACAGAGTCGATCAAGGAGCGAATGGCTGCGAGGCGCCCTTCTTTGTTTGCAATCTCAAGTACACCTGTAGGTGACCTCACCAAAGAAAAGCTGGCACCTAACATCTCAAACACCCGAGCGAAAGTGAATGTTTTCACCCTTGAAACAAAGCGCCTGCGATACGACATATACTCAGCACACGTGCAATGGCGGCAAACTTGCATGACTGGAAAATCAAAAGAGAGAATAGGAAAAATGTTTCACAAAACCTACTCCTCAAAACTACAAACTCCTTCCTTCCTTCCTTCCTGGGTGCAGGTTACGTAAAACACAAGCACCCCGCCCAAATGCACATAAGTCCTCAAGACCTCGTGCTGCATTTGTTTGTGTTCGTCACTGCGACAAAGCACTGAGCTTACAAGCCAACAGTGGAAAACTCGAAATGTTCGACAAACGAGTTTCAAGAAAGAAGGAACCTATACAAGCCGCCATGCACATGCCGAGAAGTCGCACCGCACTTTGCTGTTCGTCTCTGCCGAGCGCGGACGTACCGCAGTCCTGGGCCTCGGGTGTGAAACTTCACTGCCTGCTACGGACCTCGGACCTCACCTGTGCTGCAGGAGCGGCGCTCAACTGCGTAAGAGGGCCGATGCCCCTTTCAAGAAAGACCCCAACAAGCCATTCTCAAGAGTAACGCCAAAATCTAGCCCTGCTGGCTAGCTCAAGACATCAAGGATTAGGGCAGCAAGTTCGCAAAACGGTGACATGTGCAAGTCACCAAGTCGAAACACGCAATCGCCTATAGCGCAAAGCAAGATCGGCTTCTTCAGCCCAAGAGGGTCTGACTTCCCAAATGGCTGGTAACATGGACGTCCAAAGCATTGGATAACCTCACAAGTGCATTGAAGTCGCAACTCAAGGATAGTCTCAAGCTTGTTTTACAAGAGGACTAAACCACAAACTACTGGAAAGGCTCGGGTTCGGGGTGTTCACGGCGTGGATCGTCGGCTCCATCGGTGATCCGAAGCATCGGGAATCGCAAGTCATTGCGAACTCGGTTCATGCAGATCAAGCACATCGTGATTCTGGGATCGCGTCGCAAAAGCACACCAAGCTCTTCTTCAGCAACGACAGCAGCTCTACTTAAACCCCAACACCCTCGGAACACATGCCATCTGCGCCCAGAGATCGGCGCATGATACACAAGCAGCTGATCGACAGCAGCAGGGAATGCAGGAGGGTCAACAACTGCAATCGGCACTGCTGCCAAGGCATGGTTCTCGGGCTCGTCGATCGGATCATGGGCAGTGGGTGAAGCAGGGTGGCTGTTGCCATCGCCTGCCCCATCATCGCTCTGCGTTGGTTCTGACAGCGGCTCATCAGAGGATGCTCTGGTCACATCGAGTGTTTGCGCAAGCTCACCATCTGAAGGAATGTCATCGCTCAAGGTCGGCGCGTCGTCGTCACAAGCAGGTGTTGTGGCGTCGTCAGGTTCACAAGGCATCTGTTGCTGCGGCTCGGCACTTAGCAACACAAACCAAAACCCTAGACCTATGAGGAATCCTATGATTAGGGTGAACCATACAACCCATGGGTCGGGGAGCTCATCTGCAATCTCAGCTTGGCAACCCTGCAGGCTCATGCATAGCACCGCGAGGCATCCGATGCACACAAGGATGAATCCGCAACCGCTCAAGGCGCTTTCAAGCACATGCGGACGGCTCTCGGAGTCAAGCATGCGTGCCTGATTGGCATCGATCAAGGACATGAAGGTCAGCGCTTGCAGGAGCGCGTGCACCCGTTGCGGAGGTCCCCTGAATGCCTTCACTGCCTTAACCGCGAGCTTCAAGGACAGGTTGTTGTCACGAGCAACGGCCTGGGCCTCTCCGACACGATTGAACTGAGCATCACCATCCCTGATGTTCAAGAGGTACATCAAATACAGAATTCGCTCACGCTTAAGCACCTTGGTCATCAAGTCCGAAGAGTTGTCAAGGGTCCCGACCGGGTGGAGCTTGAATGCACCATCCTTCAAGGCCTGTTGAACCCACAGCAATCTGATCTCGACGTGTTTGAGCTTGGAGAGTCCTTGCTTGTTCACAACAGCACGAGCTGAGGAAGAGTCGCTGAAGGCATGGCTTTCGGGAGTGACTCCAACAATGAACCGCAGGGCCTCTTTCACATACATCAAGTCGACTGCAAAAGACACAAGGGCATTGAGCTCCGACTCGCAGCTTGACATAGCTACGACGACTCGTTGCGTGCGGCTCGCCGTGTAAATCGCATTCCCATTCAAGTACAAGGCCCCAGCGCTCACGCTCCGGCGCGCAGTGTGATCTGAAGCCCAGCCTGAGTCTGTGTACAGCTCCAGCACGTCGGCGCCGGTATCACATTGGACTCTGGTCCCATGTCCTGCATGGGTGCGCTCCAGCCCAAGGCAAAACCCGCTGGTTGATTTGGCATATCGAACCAGATGTTTGAGGGCCTTCATGCAAGCCTCGGTTGGGCAGGCAAGGTGCTGGGAGAGCATGCGAATGGAATGTTGCATATCGGCAGTGTCCGCAGAGATGTACATAAGAATCCCGACGCACGACCTGTAGACCGACACCTGATCCTCTGGAAGAGGGTCTGACCTGGCCAAATCAAGCGTCTGCAATGGCAACGGAGTGGGCTTCGCTCAAGCTGCAAAAGCTCAACAAGTTTCATGATGTGCTTGTCAGCCTTCTGGATGCAAAGTAGATCCTGGCGGGCCAAAGTGTGTTTGCGCTTCAAGAAGTGCAGGCTGTCGCCTTCGCGAACAAGCCACTCAAGAGTGCACTTGTACTTTGACTCTATGATCTGCGCAAGTCTCTGCAGCTCAGCATGTTCGCCTGACCCCAACAAGTCGTCTACGTGAAGGAGCCCTCCGCCGGAGTGGTTACGCATAGCAAACAGCGCCTCGCATCCGGGCCACAGCGAAACTCCGCCCTCCGAAACCAAATACTTGGTGAAAGTAGAAAACCAGACCGCTGAACCATCCCGTTGCCCCGGTAGCATAAATGCCAAACGGTACGTGGTGCCGTGGAGCGTCACCACGGTCGGGCATGGCTGCTCGCAAGTCAAGTAAGCGTCTGATATGTCACAGGCCAACAGGGCATATCCCTTGCGAGACATATACAAGCCTGGCAAGAGCTTGAGCAGCACAGTTTGGGATGCAGGGCTGTATAAACCTTCCCTAAGGGGGTCTCTGAACCTGAATTCCCGGGCCACTAACCGAGATCTCCTGAGCCAGACAGGGGCATCAGTGACCGGATGCGTTTTCGGTCGCCAGCTGGGAACGAACTTCACCGTCAATGACTTGCAGTTCTCATTGCCTGACTCAGGCTGGTAAATCACACCCATAGCCTTGAGCCGAGCTATCTCGTGATGGTCGCACAGCGCATCAAGGTCAGCAGGGTCCTCAGGGCTCAAGGAAGGCTCATGTGGTGAGAAGGGCCGATAAAGCTCATCAGGAGGGGCAAGGTAAGCGGGGGCTAAGTCGCCCCGGGGGTGGTCAACCCTATGGTTGGGTTCAACGAAAACGACTGCGCAGTCAGGAAAAATATAGCTATTTTTTCGGTTTAAAATTTTGCGAAAAATCAACGAAATCACCATGGTTTTGGAGCCATTCGCCTTAAAAATTCGAAGGGTTCTATGGAAAAGAGTGGTTTCCAGGCTGTCACGAACTGTTTTGGAACGGCACGCCCGTGAAAGCTGGTTTTTCTTCGTCGTCGATCGTTTCTTGCCGGTTGAAGTGATTTAGGGGGTTTTTGGCATTGCCTCTATGACCTGATTTCGCTGACCTTTGAAAACTAAGCAGATGCAATGCAGGTGTTTTTCTTGGAGGCGGCATCGCTTGCCGACGCTTCTACATGCTGACCTTACGGATGCTAGGTTACACAGAGTGGTCTAAGGGCTTAAAATGGGATACATTTAAGATACGATGTAGAGTAAACTTATTTTCTGGGGTTTCACAACAAAGCAGATGCAATGGAAGCGACTTTTTTGCGACGGCCACCCCATTGCCGGTTCCGGTAAATGCTAACCTTACTGTAAAGATGCTAGATTGGCAAACAGAACCCTGAACACGAAGTGAGACACCCACGACTTTTTCACGAGACAACTTCTGGATGCGCCGGAACCTTTAGCAGTATACTCCTGGAGTGCTTGCTGGGTTTTCCGATGCGATCCATGGAGGATTGCCTTCGGATTAGAAGTAGCGGGCATTCTTTCGGGACAACCCCTCACTAATCGCCTTCCTCTTTGTGTTGTGCTTTGGAGCTGGGGTTTTCGGGTCCCAAGAGCGATACTCCACCTGCTGTTCCATGCAGTTGTACACCATGCACTCGATCTCGCACGAATGCGAGGACCCGGCTTGAAAGTCCAATAGGATCAGTGCCACTCCCTTTGCATCGTTTTCGATGAAAGTATGGAGCGACACTGGGCCTTGCTCAAAACGTTCCTCTAAGCAGGATTGGACCGGGTCGTCCTTCTCCAACTCGGTGAAAATCCCCAGTTCTTTATTCCACCGGTCTTTCAGCTCAGCAAGCCTGGTGATGCTTCCATGCACCAAGCACCTAGTGTACTCTGCCACAGTAGGGCTCCACGACCGCTCTTCACGGGTGATGCCTTTGCATCGCACCGCTCATCCTCTCTCTCACTCTCTGTCTCGGAAATCGGCTCGAGTCTCTGTGCATCGCTCTGGGTGCAATCGACCTTCTCCATGTTGGGAGTGAAATACCTACAGACAGTGGGGAGGAATCCGAAAAACTACAAAAGCTTCCCGTCAGGCCAACAGCTGCATGGAGAGAACATGCAGAGAACATGCACAAACGCTTATAGCAACAATCCTACCGTTTCACATTGCCACGGAAGCCGTTCAGGCCAACAGCTGCATGGAGAGAACATGGAGAGAACATGAACACACGCTTACAGCAACAATCCTGCCGCTTCGCACACAAGCACTCTTTTTTTCGCAATCCGGCAGCTACGGAAGGTCGCAAGCGATTGCGACTCGGTTTTACTGCGATAGAAAGAAGCAAACCTTGGGATGAACCACCGAAGATTCGGGCTCGAAGAAAAAGCATTGCAGGTCACCCTGGACAAAGATCAAACGTCGCACACGCACACACACACACACACACCGTGTGCATGGCAAGCCTGGTCTCTCCCTCCCGCTCAGCAACGCCTCGCTGGAGCCACGTCTCTTCCATCGCTCCGGAAAACCCCATCCAGAAAAAGAAAAATCTTTCACACCGAGTTCGCCCAGGCCAGCAGCTTTCCGGTACGATGCTCCTGCAACTCCGGCCACTGCTGGATCCTGGCCTGCAGGATCTCTTTGCTGGCTTTGAGACCACGGCGGGAGCCCTTCAGGATCCTGACGCCGTGGGACTCTTCCACACAGACCTGAATGTAGGCGTGGCCAGCTGGGATTCCCAGCATGTCGCCTTTCTTCAGCAGAACAGCCCAGCCATGATCGTTGCACTCATCCAGCCAGTTCTGGCTCTCGTTTTCGCTCACGGTCTGGCAGAAGCTGCCGAAGCTCTTGAGGCCGTCATCTGGCACAGGCCTGCCGATGAAAAGGCATGCCCCTTCCAAGATCACCTTGAACTCCGTCAGGCCGTAGTCGGTGGAGTAGAAGATCTTGTGGGTCTTCTTGCCGAAGGACCAAAAGCAGGGTATGAAGATCTCGCCGAGGAGGGGATCCACGTCCGTGCTCACGGAGATCAATTCATCTTCTGCTTTTTTTCCCAGCACGTGGGCCCAACCCTTGAGGATCTTCGTCGCAATGTTGCTCTTGGCCACAAGGGCCAAGGACACCTGGGCCTTGGCCTTGTCCTTGCTCCAGCTCTCATAGACCCACTCTTTCTGCTGAGCGAAGTAGGTCAGCCCGCAGATGTCATCGACGAAGGCTTTTGTCTGTGCTGCGGTGATATGCAGGCACTGCGACCCCTTGCCCTGGCACAGCCAGTCGAGGGCATTGAAGCATTCATTGGCCAAATTGAAATTCTCGGACACCTCCTGCCCGGCATTCAAGGCCCCGGCATAGCTGCTGAGGATCTCTTCGCCCATCTTCGTACCAGTTCCCGCAGGAGGGCCGCTCACCTTCGCTTTCTTGTTCTCGTCCTTGCTGCTGTCCTTCTTTGTCTTCTTCGAGTTCCCGACCTTTTTCTTGAACTGGTTCACCCAGCTCCGGAAGCCGCCCAAGAACTTCTTCAGATCGGCGGCGGGTTGGCAGGTCGAGACCTCCTTCACAGCCTTGGACACCCGAATGTAGAGTGCATTCCAATGCCGAGCCAGTTCGTCCAGGTCCGTCGGGCCATCCGCCTCCCCATCCTCCTTGATTTTCCTTAGAATCATCACATACCCGCTGTTCAGGGTTTAGGTTTTAAGGTTTCTTTTAGGGTTTTGGGTTTAGGGTTTAGGGTGTCTTAGTTTCAAGGAACACAGGACTGAAGCCTCCAGCAATAACCAAAGTTTCAATGGAACTCAAAAGGCTGTGCATCGCTGTTGCTCCTGCAGCTGAATTCCTATCACGCACAATCAACACACAAGTCATGAGCATCGGAAAGTCAGGCTGTTCATGTCTACGTGTGTATATACATATGCATGTAAATTATATGCGACGGCATGAACAATAAGGCCTCCCTTGTGAGATCATGCTTGCGACTTGCACAGATTCCCGTGAAAGTTCACTGACTTCCGCCCCCCAGCAGACACGTTAGCTCAATGTCCTGCTGTCATTCGCCCCGGGCAGAGCGAGTTGGCTTTAAGGGGCTGCTCCAGCACGGCAAGACATGATCGGCCCCAGACACGGCCAGAGTCTGTGCGGGGTGGCATTTAAAGAGCCCGTGCCATGCCTCCGCTAGGTAAGGCCAACATATTGACGAAAATCGGAACAAGCAGAGCTATGGTATGCACAAGGCATGTATGAATGTATGCATGTGTGTATGTATCTGTCTACATCTGTGTCTCTGGTGTGTGGTGTGCAAAGGCTTGAGCACAACACAAAAGGCAATGGTAGGATGGTGTCGTGTTGATAAAGATGGTTCTGGTTGTTGGCAAAGGAGAACTCTTAACACGAAGTGACAAAATGCCGACTTCTTTCCGAGACAACTCCAGGATCTCCCACTGGAACCTTCAGCAGTGTACTCCTCGAGTGCTTACTGGGTTTTCCGATGGGATCCGTGGAGGATTGCTTTAGGATTGAAGCCGGGACAACCCTCACTAGTCAACTCCCTCGGCTCACGATTGCAACACAAAAAGATCTGTAATGAGCCAAGTGTCTGAAGCTTCTCCATCACCTCCCGCTTCAGCTCGGAGACCAACCGCTCGAAGTCTTGGGTCTTGATCTGCAGCTCGGCTTTGCCGGCAGCATCGGATTCGATGCCGGCTTCTTTGATGTCCGCAACCACGCCGGCGTAGGAATTCCGACGCTTCCGCAACCACGACTCGATCGTGGTGTCCGCTTGAACCATCGACTGCTCGTACTGCAACTTTTCCAGTGTTGCACTGGAAACCTTCGGCTTCTCTTCCTGTGCCGCTTTTCGCCTTGCCTCGGCGATCTCGGCTTCTTCGAAGAGACGGGCCTCCAGCTCCCTGCGGGTTTGTGCCGCCTCCTCCATGTCAGCCACGACATTGAGGAGTTGGCTTTCCTGCCTTGTGTTGTTTGCACTGTTCACAAGACGGTCGGCCGAAAGGAGGTTCTGTCCTCGCTCGAGCCTGCCGCAAGAGATCTCATGGAATCTCTCCAGGTCTTCCCTTGAGGCGAGATCCATCCTCTGCTTCACGGAGGTGGACAGCTCGTGCTGCGACCCCAAGCGGTCTTCGCAGCCTGACCACTCCTTCAACAAGAGCTCGCCTCGCACAACCTTCGTGATTGCGCCGGGCTTCGAGGTCTCTGCCTTCCACAACCTGGGCAGCTCTTCGGGCTTTGCTCCTGTCAGCAACGCCTCCCTCGCCGCCCAGTCCTTGAACCGGAACCACCGGTCCACGTCCTGTTGGGTTTCCATCCTCTTCCTCTCTTCCGTCAAAGCCCCTACCGCCGTTTCGAAGGTACGCTTGCGGCTTGCGCCGTTTTCGAGCCTTTGCGCTTTCTGTTTTCTGTACCAGGCAAACTTCTCCTCAGTGCTCATTTTGCTGAGCGACACGGCCACTTTTTCGGCGTTCACTCTTGCTTCTCGTTCCTTTTCCGTTCCCCCCCCCTTCTTGTCCTTAGTTTTGCGGCACCTTTGGAGCCACCGGTCAGTGCCGGAACAATCCCCGCAGACACGCCTTAGGACGTTCCGTCCACTGGCGTGACTAGTCTCAAGTGTCACCGCATCGTCGCACTTTATGCATCGAAGTTCTGACTCCGTCATGCCTGCCACTAGAAATCTAAGGGGCCTGAGAAGTTTCAAGGGGACTCGGTCTCCAAGCCAAGGGGGATGGAGTGAGGAATCCAGGAAAGACCCTTGTTTCGAGGGGACTCGGTCTCCAAGCCAAGCTCTGAAGCTTCGCCAAGGAGTGAGGAATCCAGGAAAGACCCTTGTTTCGAGGGGACTCGGTCTCCAAGCCAAGCTCTGAAGCTTCGCAAAGGAGTGAGGAATCCAGGAAAGACTCTTGTTTCAAGGGCACGGACTCGGTTTCCAAGCCTTGGGCCAAAACAGCCGCGACCAACCAACATGTACTCGAGAATCGCACAAACGGTCTTCGCAAGAATCACCCATGAATATCATCCCCTCTAAGGCATCGCTGTCTGCAAGTTTTCGTGCTGTCCTGTTGCCTCTTAAGCCCTGAGTCTGTGGTGGATTTCCACAAACTAGCACTAGGTTCTGGCAATGCTAATTCCATGCCAATGCATCATAATTTGAAAAAACTTAATTTGCTCAGCAGCTATATTCTCCGAAGCTTTTTGAAAGCTTGAGTTCCAGCATCTGCAACACGGCACAGGGTTGCTACCTCATTCGGCTGCAAGGGGGCTTGCTGGTTGCTGCTTTGCAGCTTTCCAGCATCCATTGCAGCCTGACACAAAGGCTGCATCATCATGGCCAAAGCCAATGTGTGAAACGCATTGCCCGTGGCTTTCACACAGTCGGAGGATCTGTAGAAATCATAATACAACTCACCGCTGTGCCCCTGCAACACAAGTCTCTCCTGAGCGGTCAAGGGCCGGTGGAACTCCTGCTCCCGCCACTCCTGATCTAGGTCACCTGTGGACAACACGAACAGGCTACCACCTGAACTTCGCAAAGCCGGGCAAATGTCCCGATAATATCGAGAACCGTACAGGGTGCCAGGTGCTCTGTCTACTTCCAGGACCGCAAGCTCAAAGCAGTGGCCGTCAAGCAAATCTCGCTTGACGAAACCTTTGTACTGTTCCAGATTGTGCTGCTGCTTTGCAGACAGCAAACCGGGATCCGTGTTGCCAATGCCTTGCATCAACAAGGACCTCAAGGTGGGCTTGGGACAGCCTGCCAACTTCCACGGATCCCGCACGGGTTGCGGGATTATGTTCTCTTTGCAACAATCTCGGCGAAGTCCACGCAACCACACCCTGGACCTGGAATGGGGGAACACAGCCTGGAGGTCCTGCTGGACATAATCCACAACAAACCACGGAATGGCCACCGACAAGTATTGCATGACATCCCTTAAGAAAGCAGTCTTGGCCAGCAATGATGAATTTTCCACGAGGAAAAACAACAAGGAGCCTTTGTGTGCAGAATGCGCGATCATGCTGATCACCTGCAAATAAACCAAACTCCTGTCGTCGTATTCACCCCCTCGCTTGCCACTGGGACTCCAAGGCTGACATGGTGGTCCTGCCACCAGCACCTCGACGTCACTCTCAAGATCATTGCAATTTATGAAGTTGATGTCACCAGCTTTGTCCAGATGCATGGACTGGGCACGTGTTCCCAAATGCTTCCTCCAAAAGGCACCTAAAGCTGCATCAAACTCGTAGCAATCCTCGGGGGACCAAACTAATCCGACGCTGTCACATATGGCTTTCCAGGCACTTATTCCAGCACAAGGCTCGCAAACAACCAGCCTCCTCTTCAGTCCAACCAGAGGCCCGACCAAGCCGCGCAAGGCCAAAGCCACAGCAGAGCTCATGGCCGGTGGACGTGGCCCAGCCCAACACTTGCTAGCTCCGGTCTTGAGCACAAACGACCCTGGAACATTTGAGCCATGTCGTCAATATACCCTGCTGACCACATCGTCTCGACCACTCGAGCAGCAAGCCCATATCATCACACAGTCTCCCCAGAGGAAGCCAACAAAGCAAAAACCACACATGTCATAGACAGACTTCAGAGTCAGTCTCTAGCAACCCAAGGAGGCCATCATCACATATTCTCCCCAGAGGAAGCCAATATAGCAAAAACCAACTTCACAGCCATCCTGTAGCAAGCCAGACAGGCCATGCTGGATGCCACCACGGCCTGCCTGGCTTGCTACAGGCTGGCCACTGGGCTTGACCAGCCCAAGCCACGGATTGAGTGGATGGCCAGGCAAGCAGTCGCCGGGTGGCATATCGTCATCGACTTCAGAGTCAGCCTGTTCCAAGCCAAACAGGAAATGTACCAGTCGCCGGCAGCAAGAAGACTGAAACCAAGAAAACCGGCGGACGCAGAGAAACCTCCGGCACGTCCGGAAGCTTTTCTGGTCCGCCGGTTTTCTTCCCGTGGCTACTACTCCAAGACCGGGCTCCGGCCTAGGAGTAGTAGCCACTGGAGCCATGGCCGGGGCCACCTCTTGCAAAAGGCTGGTGTTGAACTTGATTGCTTCTGGAAAGAAACCAAATCGATCCCTTGCCTAAGAGCCACCGGTCAAGAAATTCCTCAATCTCTCCGCAAATGCCGAAACTGAGCTGCCACGCTGGCTGAAATCACACCATTCGCTTCAGCTTCCGTTCCGAATGAGTCAATGCCTTGCTTCCACGCCAGTGGCAAAGGAATTGCTCAATCCCGCAGCAAACCTCGAAGACTGAGCTGCCATGCTACCAAAACACGCACCATTGGCTCGATAGTCAATTGCGAATGGAGAAAACATGGCTTGGCTGCAAGCTTCGTTGCTTTATCTCCATCTTCATTCCAAAAAATCACATAAACAAACAAAAAAGTAAAAATGCATCGAAACAATAGAAAAAAAGAAAAACACATGGAAAACCTAGGAAACTAAGAAAAATATGGAGAACACAACAAAAAGTAACAAAAATCCACTGCAACAGACAAAATAAGAACCGGGAGGGACGGGAGCAACACGGGAGCAACACGGGAGCAACACGGGAACGACATGGGAACGACATTGGGAGCAACATTTTTGCAACATTTTTATAAATTTTCTGCAAAAGCTCAAAAAGTTATCAAAAACACAAAAGTTATAGCAAAACACAATGGAAACCAGAAACAACACAGGAGCTTCCTGCAAAAGCTGCAAAAAGTATCGAAATCATGCCACAATCTCAATGGACATGAAAACAAACACCGGGAGGGACGGGAGCAACACGGGAGCAACACGGGAGCAACACGGGAGCAACACGGGAGCAACACGGGAACCACAATCTCAATGGACATGAAAACAAACACCGGGAGGGACGGGAGCAACACGGGAGCAACACGGGAACGACACGGGAACGACACGGGAACGACATGGGAACGACATTTTTGCAACATGTTTGTAAGTTTTCTGCAAAAACTACGCAAAACAACAACACGACACACATATGATGCAAAAACTCATGAAACAACATCCCTAAACCCTAAACCCTAAAAAAAACTGCCACATCAACACCAAAACTCAACGATAACCTTAAAAACACCAAGGTTAACACTGTGTGCGCTGCGCTGGAGGACAAGAGGCCGGGAGCGACAGGAGCGACACGGGAACGACATGGGAGCGACATCGGGAGCGACGGGAGCGACACGGGAACGACATGGGAGCGATATCGGGAGCGACGGGAGCGACATGGGAGCGACATGGGAGCGACATCGGGAGCGACAGGAGCGACATCGGAGCGACATCGGAGCGACATCGGCATCGGGAGCGACGGGAGCGACACTGGAACGACATTGGAGCGACATTGGGGAGCGACGAAAACACGAAATCAATCCTAAAATCAAATAAAATCTCTATAATATACACAAATAATAATAAAATATTATATATATAGTACAAAATATAAATATTTATACAAAATATATAAAATAGATATAAATATTATAAAATAATAATAAAATATTATATATATAGTACAAAATATAAATAATCATATAAAATATATAAAATATACATATATATATATAATAATCATAAAATATTATATATATAATACAAAATATCAATAATTATACAAAATATATAAAATATACATATATATATATATACAAAAAAATATTAAATCATATCCCAAAATGCAACACCCTCTCTTTTGCTGCGAAACCCACGGCACGGTTTGCAGTGGAGCTTTTCGGTGGCTCGTGAACCTTCAGAGTCCATCTCGGACTTTCGAATTTGTGGGTTGCTGTGCTGCCAGTAGTCTCGGACTTTCGAACTTGCACCTTGCTGTGCTGCCAGGAGTCTCGGACTTTCGAATTTGCGGTTTGCGGTGCTGCCAGGAGTCTCGGCCTTTTGGCTTGCGGTGCTGCCGGGAGCCTTGGCGATTTACGCCTGGTTTTCCCTCTCCCTCACCAACCGGGAGGCCGCCTCCAGCAAATCAGCAACTGCACTGGACCCCGCTGCCGATGCTGGCCGTGGCGGCGCCGGTGCCTGGCTTGCCGATGGGCCGGGTGAGCTCACTCGAGAGGCCCCACGTCTCGGCTTCTCAGGGCCCGGGAGGTGGCTGCCTTCGTGCTTGGCCTTCCAATGCTGCCAGTAGGCATACTCCGTGCCGAACGCCTGGCCGCAGTTATCTTCGGGTCTTTATGGGGAAGAAATTTTTTTTTGGTGGTATTCCACGTACCATAACTACATTAGGATCGCACTTGGTCAGATATAGCCTGCCATGGAACTGGCTGAGCTTCTGAAATCGGAAGGCCTCTCTCCCGAGCTTGCCGATCTAGCTGTTGCAAGCGGTTGGAAGTCATCCACTTTCAAGCGTGCTGTCAGCAAATTGGAGGATTTAGACTCTGTATTGGGCGAAATCTTCCCGGAGAAGGTGCTGACAGCACTTCAGAAGGCCACTATCCGTCCTGTTTGGAGTAATTTGCAGGAGTCCGGGGCCCCGGGCTCAGCAGCATCGGTAACCCCTCCCGCTGTAGAGTCTCGGGAAGGATCATGGGTGGAATCTTTTGCTCCAAAGATATCAGCATCTTCTATTTCAGAAATGAAACGGAAATATCTGGTGAACTACCCGTCGGAGATCCTCAACTACTCC